ATCCACTATGCAAAGGGGCTATATATAAGACTGAGTTTATTGCAACTTCTCAGACTGATGAAGTCTTTTAGATTAAAGATGACGCGTTTAATCTTTAAAAAAATATATATATATTTTTTGAATTCGTCCAGAGGACCCAACTTAACTTTTTTAGATTTTCCCCTTGGATTATTGCCCATGCATCAGGATGTCAGGTACAATCACTGAAAGTTTATAAACAAAAAAGTGCTGAAAAATCTTACCATATTTAAAGTCAACAGTTTTTCCCTCACCATTGACAGCTCCATGGTTTCTCCCACCCCCAGGTTAAGAGTCTGGGTGTCATTCTTGACAGTGATGAGGAAAATCAACACAACAACTCAGACTTTTCAGCCTATTCACCTGTTCCTCTCATTGGTTCGGAAATACATGGAGAAAAGACACAATAATCAGTCAGAGAGATTCAAGTTAAAAAGTATTACCAACATTTATTAAAGTTTTCAGCTGAAAGGAGACGCTCTTACCCCAAACCAACAGAGACACAACAAAAACCCAAGACACGTCTGACCGGAGCTTTCAGCTTCTTCTGTATTTAAACACAAAAGCTCCACCCAGAGACGTGTCACACATTCTTACAGTTCTTTGTCTAAACTAGTTCAAACTGATGTCTTCATTTCCTGGAAGTCCTTTTATGGAGTTGTTTTATTATTTTCTTCTGCCGTTCCAGTTTACTGGTGATCTTGTCATCAGGTGGAACACATACCAGCAGCTCCCTGTTAGTTCATGTCCCGTACACAAAAACTCAAATACATTTCTCTGACTTAGTTCACTCTGTACTTGTTGATACCAAAAGACAAGCAGATACAGATAAAGGACAAGATACAGTTGTGATACATCAAGCAATACAGCAAAGCAGATGAGAGCGTCTTTACAACAGCACTCTCTCTTTTCACTCTCACATCAATAATATTACCCACTCTGCATATTTCCACCTTCGAAACATCAACCGTCTCCGTCCATCCCTCTCCCTGCACTCTGCTTCCATCCTGGTCCATGGCTTGGTCATTTCTTGAATTGATTACTACAACTCTCTCCTATTTGGTCTGCAGCAAAAATTACTCCGTAAAGTCAAATGGTTCAAAATTCAGCTGCCCGCATCGTTACCAAAACCCCCTCATTTCACCACATCACCCCAGTTTTACAGCAACTTCACTGGTTTCCAGTCACTGTCAGAATTCAATTTAAAATCCTGCTGTACACATTCAAGGCCATCCATAACCTCACCCCTCCCCATCTGTCCCATCTCCTGCACATTATACCATACCAGCTTTATTTATAAAGCACTTTAAACACCCACAGGACCAAAGTGCTGTACACACAACAAAACAATCATACAGTCAAACGATAATAAAAATTATTAAAATGATTAAAAGTCACATAATAAAAGTGTAAAAAAACAATCAATCAGATAATACAAGTGATTAAAATGATTAAAAGTCAACATTTCAGATGGTATCACAGGCCATGGAGAAGAGATGGGTTTTAAGAGGAGATTTAAAAACAGACAGGTAAGAGTCTGATGTTGAAGGGAAGGTCGTTCCACAGTTTAGGAGCTGCAGCAGCAAAAGCACGGTCTCCTCTGAGCTTACGCTTTGTCTTTGGCACACTCAGGAGCAACTGATCACATGACCTGATGGATCGAGAGGGTGTATATGGATGCAGAAACTCAGACAGATAGGGCGGGGCAAGTCCATTAAGAGCTTTAAAAGCAAATAAAATTGTCATAGCTCTGCTCTCTGTCAGCTCCTCTGTCATGCTGCACACTCAGTAATCACTCAACTCATGTCACCTGTCACCGCTCATTATCCCACAGCTCCACCACCTGGTCCAGTCAGTACTTAAGCTCACTCATTCCTCTCAGTCTGGGCCAGATTCTCTATCCTGTCTCATCAGCAATAGACTTTCCAGCATTACATTGATTGACTCATCACGTTCATGACCCTTGCCTTGACCACGACCACGCTTTTGCCTCAGCCCTCGTCTGCTTTTGCTCATCTGATCAGGTACCGACTCATGCTCTTGTTTTTTGACTCTCTTTTTGGATCACGTACTGGATACTTCTGCTGAACAACTGACTTCACGGTATGAACTCTGCCTTTCCCTTCTGACTGTTTTTTGGATCACGGATTAAAGGTCAAGCTCATTCTGTATCACGGACTTATCCTTACCCCTGAATCTGATTCCCACAGATTCATTTCCCCAATTAGTCTTTTTCCCCCTGCATCTACTAACCTTTATCTTTTAGTTGCAAGCCTGTTGGACTCCGTTCCAGTGGACCTTAACATCAGTTCTACTTCTACTGGCAGCCCGCCACTACAACACTACCCAATCTCGAACTACCAATCAGAAGATCGGAACCAGCCCAGAACCGGACCTACTCCAGAGTTTTACTTTATTTCACAATAAATCTTTTAACCCTCTCAGTGGTTGTTGTTGTTGTTGTTTGCGATCCGGCCTCTGGTTCATGACAAAAATAATTTTTAAATGAATCCTGGAATGTACGGGCAGCCACTGCAGGGAGGCTAAAACAGGAGAAATGTGTTCAAACTTTCATGTGCCAGTTAAAAGCCGTGCAGCAGCGTTCTGTACCCTCTGAAGCTGACAGATACATGAATCGTGATTCCTGTATAGAGTGCATTACAGTAGTCCAGCCGAGTGGTCACAAACGCATGAACTACTTTTTCAAAATGCTGCTTAGAAAGAATCGGCTTCACCTTAGCCAGCTGCCTCAGATGACTGGGTCCTGTGGAACCCCACACAAGAGAGGACCAGAGGAGGACACATGGTCACCAAGGCGGACACAGAAAGTACGCTCCGCTAAGTAGGACCTAAACCAGTCCAGTGCTGCACCGCTGACACCAGATCCAGAGTGTGTTCATGTGTAGGACCAGTCACAGACAGCACAAGATTAAAGGAGTCATATGTTTAAAAAGGACTGAGCCAAGGGTAAATCAGGACAACACACATGGATATTAAAATCACCAACAATGACAACTCTGTCGTATTTTGGCATAATTTCAGCCAAAACGTCTGAGAAGTCATTTATAAAATCCTTATTGTATTTGGAGGTATGATAGATAGCCACACACAGTGTAATGTGGGAGGAGCCAAGTTCAAACAGGCTGGGCTCAAAGCTGCTGAATGGAGATGGAGGTAGCTGTTTACAATCAAAACAACTTTTAAAAACAGTCACTATTCCTCCTCCTCGACCAGACATGCGTGGGGAATTAAAATAGCAGCAGTCCTGTCGTAAAAGTTCCATCAAAACGCTGGACTCATTTAGTCCACCTGTCTATGATTCTGTTATGAATAAGAAGTCCATCCATCCATCCATTTTCTTTACCCGTTTATTCCATTTTGGGTCATGGGGGTCGCTGGTGCCCATGTCCAGCAATCACTGTGCGAGGGGCGGGGTACACCCTGGACGGGTCTCCAGTCCGTCACAGGGACACATAGAGACAAACGAGACAAACAACCATTCACTCTCTCACTCACACCTAGGGACAATTTAGAGTTACCAATCAGCCTAACATGCATGTTTTTGGTCTGTGGGAGGAAACTGGAGCACCCGGAGAAAACCCACGCATGCACGGAGAGAAAATGCAAACTCCACCCAGAAAGGCCCCTGGACCGGGGTTTGAACCAAGGACCTTCTCGCTGAGAGGCAGCAGCTCTACCAGTTGCGCCACCGTGCTGAATAAGAAGTCCAATCCTTGAAATAAAAAGAAATCCTGGATATCAAAAGTTTTATTTGTCAGCGATCTGGCGTTAATCAGGTCGATCCTGGCAGCAATCGTTAGCAAACATTATCACTAGGGCTGAGCCATATCATATCGTTCACGATAATACCGGTAAAAAAAAGCTTGCCTGGGCAAAAAATATTATATCATGATATGCTAATTTCATGACGTAATAGGTCAGGGTGCCCTGCTCCCATATTTTTTGTTTGTTACATTTATGCTCAACAGATCTTAAGCTTCATTTTACAAAGTATTATATTTAGTTATTTTGGGAAACTTCACCTGCACTTTAGTTTTTGTGGTGGATTTATTGTTCTATATTTTGTGCAGACTTTTTCAATCTAAATAACAGAAAGATCTTTTTTATTGTTATACTTGGAGACTGAATACTTTATTAAATAAAGTAATTTCAGTAAAATTACCCCTTGTTTTTTAATTTTATATAATACTGCAAAGCAACATGTTCAGTTAATTTTGGCAAATAACTATGAGTTCTTTTTTTTTTTTTTGTTATATCACAAAATTTATCGTTATTATCAGATTGCTCTGAAATATCACAATATTATATTTGAGCCATATCGCCCACCCCTAATTATCACCCATTCACGCTCCCTTCGTTCTTCCTCATCCATCCACCTCAACGTGCCTCTCGTCCGCCTCGGCACCATCGGACACAGAGCCTTTTCTCACTCTGCTCCCCAACTCTGGAATGCTCTTCCCCCAGACAGCCGTAATATTGACTCCCTTCAGACCTTCAAATCACAATTCAAAACTCATATGTTCATGTTAGCCTTCTTACTTTAATATTTTGTTATTTTCTTCTTGGTTTAGTGTTTTTAAAGCCATTTTGTTTTGTTTTATTTTGTAATTTTAATGTTGTGAAGTGTCCTTGGGTGTCTTGAAAGGCAGTAACAAATAAAATGCATTATTTCCTGATGCATGTTCAATAATCCAGGTAGAAAAATCTAAAAAAGTTAAATATGGTCCTCTGGACATTCAAAAAAAATAAATAAATAAAGAAAATATTGTAGAAACATTTCGTCTTTCATCCGAAAGACGAAATGTTTCTACTTTTTTTTTTTTTGAATGTCCAGAGGACCAGATTTAACTTTTTTAGAAAATGCATTATTATTATTATTAAAAATCCAAAGATTCACAATGTGTTACTGTGCAGCACGTTCAGTTTCTATCTGATGTTCATTGTTTGTTTTGGTCACTCAGATGTGCTGTGGTGCTACCTGTCGAAGCAACAGGAAGTTCATGGTGACCAGGATCATCTACTCCTCAATCCTTCTGCTGGGCACCATGGTTGCCTGCATCATGCTGTCCCCAGGGGTGGAGCAGCAACTTAAAAGGGTAAGAATGAATCCAGGAAATACATGAAATGTATTTATTCATGTGTAAAGTTCACTCGAGAGGAGAACCGTACAAATCTTATAAATAAATGAAAGGCCCAAGATTATTTGAAAGAATGCTGGTGAAGATTCTCAGTCATCTAGGACATGATGAATTCAAAAAGTGTTCAATACAAAAACAACTGGACTTTATTTGTAACAGAAGACGTTTCGCTCCTCATCCGAGGAGCTTTCTCAATTCAAAGAGCAGTGAGTGAGAGAATGAAGTTATAAGGCTGAGTGAGATAAGACACACACACACACACACACACACACACATGTAGATTGGCAATTCACACCTCAACACCTTAACAGTGACGTTTTGTCTTTCATCAGAAAGTCTTCCTCAGTCTGAGGTGCTATATTCAGCTCAGTCTCTTAAACAGCACCTTCTCAGAGTGGATCAACCAGTTTTGCTGCTGACAACCAAAACCAGCTGCTCACGTGATCAAGAAGGACCATCGGCCTAACAATGGATCATTAGCACACTGATGGCTGTGACACTCCAGTAGTCAATTACATGCCAGGGAGACAGAAAAGTGGGTGAAGAATTTATCTGACAGACAGCTCACCCAGCCGGAGACAGAGATTCTTGCCAGGGGACTGAACTTTGTGGTTGCACCAAGTAGAATTCCTCTGGTGGAGATGATCACAGCCACAGAATCAGCCATCCGCAACAACAAAATGAAAGAGGGTGAAGCAGAACAGCTCAGAGCACAATCTCAGAGGCCTGCATAACATTCTCTGAAGATGTAGCCGCTAAAAGAATGTCATCCACGTATTGTAACAACACCACCCCCTGCGGTAATGGCAAATCAGCCAGCACCTGTTTCAAAACATGATTAAAAATGGATGGAGAGTCTACAGAACCTTGTGGCAGCCGAGAATAAGTAAATTGTTTCCCCTTATAGGTAAATGCAAACAGATCCCTCGATCCCCCTTCCAGTGGTACAGAAAAAAAAGGTGTTAGCCAAATCGATACAAGTAAAGAACTTATGCTCCGGTTGAATTGCATTCATCATGACATATGGATTAGAAGTACCATAATTAGTAGGTACAACAACTTTATTAATGGGCTCAAATCATGGACCATACGATAATCAGATTTATCAGGTTTAGGAACAGGATTAAGAGATGTGTTCCAGGGTGAAACGGTAGGTGAGATGTGTTCCAGCGTGAAACGGAAGGCTGTAACACCCCAGCAGCTAACAGTCCTTTAATTGTTTGCTCAATACCTACAATATGCTAATTTCTGAATAGACATTGATGTTGGAAAATAGGAACTGTTCCTGGTTTCAGAGTAATTGAGACAGGTGGGACACTCAGCAAACCTATAGCCATAGAGTTCCTGTCCCAAAGTGTATCAGGCAAACTGGCTAACAGTTTGTCTGTATCAACATGATCTGTGTTTTCTCTGCTATGTGTTCTTGGCAGAAAATGTTTCTCAGGCACCAGTAATGTAAATGATCTGTGTGTAATTCTGTAAGTGTCAGTCTCTGGAGAATAATGTAAGAGAGGATTTTGTGTGGGCACCCATTCCTGGACAGCAAGACAGCGCCTTATCATAGGACCTAAATTCTTTGCTTCACCACCACTCGTGACCTTCAATGACACACGAGAAGCTGATACATCACCAAGCATATACAGTTCTGTCAGTGGTTCAGGCAACTTTACAGCTGCTGCCACTCCCACAGGACCAACATAAATGTCCATCAGTTCCACCACTGGGTAGTCACCAGTCTCTTGACAATGTTCCAGAAGACCCGCCCAGAATTCATCATAGTTCTTGTCACCACACAGTTCATAATTCAGCATACGATGGGCCTTATCAGGAGGTGAGTCATAAAGTCTTATGACATTGATTCAGGCGTCCCAGCTGTTTAAGGTGTCACATAAGGATGTAGTGGGGAAATCAGGCACAGCCCCCCACCAAACCTCAGCTTGAAGTTCAGCCGAACAGGACTCATCCAAAGTGCCAAGGGTCTGGATCATCTGATGTAGTGAGAGTTTCACCTTCGCACAGCACTGGATCGTACCACCAGGGAAGGTTAGCTGTACACTGTCAGGTGTCATCATCAAAGTCATGTTCTGATCACACAGAATGTCCCTTCCCAGCAAGTTCACTGGACATGAGTCCAAAATCCAAAAAGAATGTTCAAAACGCAGATTATTCCACACACAAGGAACATATGTGGACAGGGGCCACTCCTCAGTATTGCCTGAAAATCCAACAACAGGTACGGTATTCGTAGATCGAGGGAGTGGGATGTTAACTGTTGAATACCTAGCTCCTGTATCAGTTCAATTCAATTCAATTCAAAAATACTTTATTAATCCCAGAGGGAAATTATATGTTGGGTAACTCATCATCCTGGTTTCAATAATGAGTTGTTATAGATGCTGATGGCTGTGGGCATGAAGGATCTCTTGTAGCGGTATGTCCTACAATGGATTTGAAGAAGCCTCTGACTGAAGACACTTTGTTGTTGTGTGACAGTCTGATGAAGAGGATGCTGAGGGTTGTCTATAATGTTCTTCATTTTATGACGAATCCTTCTTTGTACAATCATCTCCAAAGGTTCTAGAGGAGTCCCCAGAACTGAGCCAGCCTTCTTTGTGAGCTTGTTGATCTTTTTTAAGTCACTTGCTCTGGTGCTGCTCCCCCAGCAGATGATGGCAGAAGAGATAGCGCTCTCTACAACAGACTTATAGAAGATATGCAGCATCTTGCTGCAAACGTTGAAGGACTTCAGCTTCCTCAAGAAGTACAGTCTGCTCTGTCCCTTCTTGTAGACAGCTTCACTGTTGCATTTCCAGTCCAGTCTATTGTCCAGGTGAACTCCAAGGTATTTATACTTCTCCACCACCTCCACTTCTTCTCCCATGATGGAAATAGGGTTGGATCTGTTCCTGATTCTCCTGAAATCTACAATCATCTCCTTTGTTTTGTTCACATTCAAGATGAGATGATTGTTTCCACACCATGCCACAAAGCGGTCCACCAGTTCCCTGTACTCAGCTTCTTGTCCATCTCTGATACACCCGACTACTGCAGAGTCATCAGAATATTTCTGCAGATGACAGGAGTCTGTTTTCTGAACCTTATATCAACCATACACATGTGATTTTGGCCATTAATGGTGACTGAAACCAAAGGTTCAAGATACATGACGCCACCTACTGCCGATCTTGGGCATCCCATTGAACTGGAAACTGACCTGGGGCTTGATGACGAACCCCCGGTAAAGGGCCAGGCAGAGGAAAGGAAGGAGCAGTCTGTGGTGGTGGATACACATCTTATGGGTACTGAAGTGGTGTCACTTCCTGTCTCAAGTACTCCTGATTAGCAGATGGACACCGGTTAGCCCAATGTCCAAAAACACCACACAAGAAACACACATCAGTGACAGGAGGTTTCCCCTTTGGATGTTTATGTCCCCGGCCCCTGTGTGATAACACAACTGGGCCCTGAGGTCTCTGCTGATACCAATAATCAGAGGAATCAGCAGGATCCATAACAACCGGAGCTGGCTGTACTTGAGGCATCTGTTTAGCATTTACTCTAGTGAGATTTATCTTTTCACGTAAATCTTTCAACTGAGCCTTAGCAAGTTGAGTCTCTAAAGACCTCAACTCCCTATCATCTGAATCTTTCTTATCCAAATGTTGGTCCACAAAGTGTACAACGTGAGCTGCCCACTACTCAGGCCTACAACAGAGGCCAAACATTTCTTGACCTCATCTGACAGAGAGCTCTCCACAGCCCCCCTAAATAACAACTGTGTAGTAGGGTCAACAGTTGGGTCATGGCCAGTCCTGTTTTCCCACAACAGTCTCACTCTAGACAAATATGTAGTGCCCCTCTATGTAACTGCAGGAGGTATTTCACACAAGTCTGTTGATTTCATAGAAGTAAGATATTTCTCCCTGACAACCGGCCACAATGCCTGTACATGCTCCTGCAAGGTACTGTTATCTGGATCGTGTCGAGTACTGGCAGCCTGTTCAATTTCATTCAGGCACCCAAATGATGTGCATGCTATAAAAACTCTCCTCCAATCTCCCAGGCATGGGACAATTCCACAGGCTTCTAAAAAAGGCCTTTATCCATGCATTTCCACCTTTCTGAATATCTGGCAACTTTTCTTTAATCAGTTGCATGTCTTGTAAGCTGTAAGGTGTATAAGTATGTTTGCAGACACCATCTGCTGTTGTGGAAGTCACCAGAGGCATCATAAGATGTGGAGGCGAGGCTGAATCATTACATGAATGAACATTTGCCGAATTCCTAACTAAACAACCTGTACTCTGTCTCTGCCATTGAGCAACACGATCATGTGAAGACTGGGTATCCTCCAATTTATGTTCAGAACCACAGGGCCTGAATTCAATAAGATCTGCCTCAACAGGATGTTTAGAAGCACGGGTACCATGAACAACAGAATTATATCAAGGACCCAGTGTTTGATGGCTGAAGGAATGACTAGAGGATAATCACCGGTTCATCTTAGAATCCAGTACAAAATACTCCTGTATGTCTACAAATCGCTGAACAGTCCCCCCCCCCCCCCCCCCCCCCCCCCCCCCCCC